TTGGACCCTTTCGCTAAAAAGGGTGGGGGTCCTTAATTCCTGCCCCCCCCCCCCCCCCTCGGAGGTTCAAGCATGCCGTTTTTGGGCCCTCGTGGAGCGCTCTTGGGGCCGTCTCGGGGCCCTCTTGGACCCTTCTTGGGGCTATATTGGGTCGTTTGGGGGGCATCTTGAGGCTTCAAGGGCCCATCGGAGGCGAAAAAAGGGAGAAGGCAACACACATTGATCGTCCTTAGGTTGTTGAGCAATTTTGGCCCTTTGGGGGGTGTCCTTGGAGGCCTCGGGGTGCACTTGAAGCCGTTTGGGGGCCGTCTTGAGGCCTCTTGGACGTGCGTCGGAGGCTAGATTGACACATTTACCGCTGTCTTCGGCCATATTGGATGCCAGCTTGCGCTCTTGGAAGCCCTCTTGGAGCCATCTTGGACCAACCTGGGCCCTCTGCCACACCGCGGCGGAGCCCGTCCAGACGCAGGGAGGGGGGGGGGGGAAGGTAAACCTCCCGAGAAGGGAAAGGCAGGAGGTTGGACACGGAAACGCCCTCGACCACTTGCGCCCAGAGGGTTGGTGGGATTATTTGCGCCTCGCGTGTCCCCACCAGGTTAGGTATTTGCTCTTCGCCTTCCTCTTCCGCTGCGCTAGTTTAGGTCGTTGTCCGTGTGCATAGTGTAGACGCCGCCCGACCTCCTCGCCGCGGTCGCGATCAAAACTGTCTCCCCACCAGCCCATCCAGAAGCCCTGCCCACGAGAGTTGACGGGAAAAAGGGACGACGGGACACATCTAGGGAAACAACGCGAGCAACCATGATGAACCGAAAGATCTCTGGAAGCAAGGGGGTGGCCTCGGACGGCCTCTTCGGGCCATCCCTCGGGGCCGCGCGGGGGCGAGAGGAAGAGGAGGAGGAACAAGGAGGAGGAGGAGGAGGAGGAGGAGGAATAGGAAGAGGAGAAGGAAAAGGTTGTCTCTTGGGCGCCTCTTGGGGCACTCTTGGGGCTGTGTGGGAGCTTCCTGAGGGCCTCCTGTGGGGTTTTGGAAGGCCTTTGGGGGCTTCTTGGGGGCCTCTTTGGCTTTCTTAGGGCGCTCCTGGCTTGTCTGACGCCGTCGGAAGCCGTCTTGGGGGCCTGTCTGGGTCGTCTTGGGGCCTTCTTAGGGGCACAGCAGGGGTTCTTAGAGGCCATGTTCGGCGTCTTGGAGGTCTCTTGAGCCGTTTCGGGGCCCTCGTGGGGCTGTCTTGGGGGCCTTTTGGGCCGTCATGGGTCCATCTTGGAGGCCTCTTGGGCGATCTTGGGGGCCTCTTGCACCGCCTTGAGCCGACGGAATGCCGAAAAGAAACATATGCCACAATCTTTCAAACACCTTGGGACATCAATGATTTTGGCCTCTGCATGCCCTCCTGGAAGACCTCCTGGGCGCCTTTTGGGCCGTCTTGGAGGCCTCTTGGGGGCCTCTTGGGCCGTCCTGCGCTATCTTGAGGCCATCTTAGGCCGTCTTGGGTGCGTCTTGAGCCGTCTTGGAGGCGTCTTGGGGCCATCTTAGCCGTCTTGGAGGCCATCTTGGGCGTCTTGGAGGGCTCTGGGGCCGTCTTGGGGCTCCCTTGGGGTCCTCTTGGGGCTCCCTTGGGGTCCTCTCGGGAGTCCTGGAAGGCCTCTTGGGGCCATTTTGAAGGCCATCGATCAAAGGAGGAGCTGGGATAACGCTCGCCCCCCCCCCCAAAAAAGAGGCCAACATTGGGCCCAAACCTTCGTAAAACCAATGGTTTGGGCACCCAGAGGGCTGGTGGGATAACGTTCAGCCCCCCCCAAAAAAAGAGGCCAAAATGGGGCAGACGTTGATACAACGAATAATTTTGGCGCCCAGAGTGCTGGTGGGGTAACGTCTGGCCCCCCCCCAAAGAGGCCTAATTGGGACTAAAACCTCAGTAACACCAATGACTGTGGCTTCCTCGCCGAGGCCGTTTTTGACGCCTTGACACCTCGCGGACCCCCCAAAAAGAAGTCCAGGAGAGGCGTGAGGGGAGGGGTAAACCCTCTCCGTCGGGGAAGAGGTTTTTTTTGGAAGTGGGAAGAGGAATCTCGTTAGACCACCTGTCGCCCAGATGGCTGGTGGGATTTGGTTGCTGCCGTCTGCCCGTGCAGTTACAGGCTGCCCAATCAAGCTTGACTGCCCACTGTATTGCACAAAAGAATTTATCGCGCTGGCGGGGAGCAGCAAAACCAAAAAATCAAGCTTGACCACCCTTTCGCAGGTCACGTGGTGGTCGGCCGGCGTTGCAGATGGTTCTCGCAGGCAGGACCCCCGCCCCACGACATGGATATTGGGAATTTCGGGGTCAGGTTTCGTTGACTTCGGGTCGATGTTTCCACCCACGAGCCAATCCCCTACCAACAAGCCCCCTACCTGAAGGAAGGAGGAGGAAGGAAGGAGGAGGAGGAGGAGGAGGAGGAGGAGGAGGAGGAGGGGGAGGGGGAGGAGGAGAGGGAGGAGGAGGAGGAGGAGGAAGAGGAGGAGGAGGAGGACGAGGAGGAGGAGGAGGACGAGGAGGAAAGGAGGACGAGGAGGAAAGGAGGAGGAAGGCTGAAAAGGACTGAAACGCGCCACGCCGTCGACTGCGCCCGTGCCCTGCCCGCAGCCGTGCCTGCTGGCTCGGGGGCCCCGGAAACGCCCCCCCGCGCAAACCGAAGCTCGGGGGCCCCCAAACGGTGTGGTGACCACACCGTGCGGTGAGTCGGTGGGGATTCGGAGCCACCGCGCAGTTTTGGAACTCGGGTCGTTCTCCGAGGACGTCTCGGGCGACAGGGGCCTCCGGGGTCCCAAGACCGTGCGGTGACGGACCGTGCGGTGAGGTCCCTTGGGGGTCCGAGGTCACCGCACGGTCTGTCACCGCACTGTCTCGGGACTCCCAAGAAGCGGCCCGAGGGGGGACCCGCAGCGGACCCCTCCTGCGAGCGCCCGGAGGACCTGCTGGCCGGTCGCCCCGCCTTCGACGAGGCCCTGCGCGCCGCCTGCCACGCGACGGGCTTCTTCTACCTGCGCGCGCCGCGGGCGCACGCGCGCCGACTGAGCGAGGCGCTGGCGGCCGCCGGGGACTTCTTCTCGGGGGGTACGTAGATCGGCCACGCGCAGAGGGGGACAGTGGGATCGGGGGGGGGCTTCTCAGGAGTACCCTGCTTCTCAGAAGGCGCTGGCCTCATCTATCGCTGTAAGAGTGGCGCTTTTTCAGAAGCGGCCTCCTTCGAAGAAGCCTTCCCCCCCTCCCCTGTACCCCCTGTTTCTCGCCGCTAAGAAGAGGCCAGATATGCGTCCCAACTAACTTGTTTGAGCCAGCTGTGAGTCTGAGGGGCCCTGTACCGGGCTCTGAGCCGTGAGCCGTCTCTGGGCCGCGGGACCCTCAAATCACGGTTCTGAGTTGATCGGATTTGAAAGTTTGGGCCGGTCCTCCTCCTCGTCCTCCTTATCCTCCTCTTCCTCCTCCTCCTCCTCCTCCCACCTTCCTCCTCCTCCTCATTCTCCTCCTGCTCCTGCTCTTTCTCCCCCTCCTCCTCCTCCTCCTTCTCCTCCTCCTTCTCCTCCTCCCCCCCCGCTTCCTCCTCCTTCTCCTCCTTCTCCTCCTTCTCCTTCTCCTTCTCCTGCCCCTTCTCCTCCTCCTCCCCCTCTTCGTCGTCCTTCTCCGTCTCCTCCCGCTCCTCCTCCTCCTCCTTTTCCTCCTCTTCCTCCTCCTCTTCCTCCTCCTCCTCCTCCTCCTCCTCTTGCTTTTCCTCCTGTTTCTCCTCCTCTTCCTACTCCTCCTCCTCCTCCTTCTCGTCTTCTGCCTTCCCCTCCTCCTCCTCCTCCTCCTCATTATTATTATCGTCTCCTTCTTCTTTTCTCTTCCTTCTCATTCAACTTCTTCTTCTCTCCTCCTTCTCCTCTTATCCTCCTTCTCCTCTTCCCCCCTCCTTCTACCTCTTCTCCTTTTCCTCCTCCTCCTCTTCCTTCTTATCTGTTTGTTTCTCCTCCTCCTCCTTTTCCTCCTCGCCCTCCTCATCCTTCTCCTTCTCCTCGCCCTTCTCCTCCTCATCCTCCTTCTCCTTCTCCTCCTTCTCCTCCTTCCCCTCCTTCTCCTCTTCCTCCTCCTCCTTCTCCTTCTCCTTCTCCTCATCCTTGTCTTCCCCCTTCTTCTCTCCTCCTCCTCATCGTGTGTGTGATTGTGTGTGTTTGTCATTGTGCTCGAGCGTGTGTGTGTGTGTGTGTGTGTGTGTGTGTGAGTTTGTATGCGCTCGTGCGTCTGTGGGTGTGTGTGTGTGTTCGTGCGCCCCTGTGCGGGTGCGTCAAAGGAGGTCTGCTTGCACCTTGATTGTGTGCGTGTCTTTGTGCGTGTGTGTGTGTTTATGTGTGTTTGTGTTTGGGTGCGTCTGTGTGTGTGTGGTTTGTGTGTGTGTGTGGGTTTGAGTGCGTGTGTGTGTGTGTGTGTGTGTGTGCGTGTGTGTGCGTGGCTGCGCGCGTGCGCCCGTGTGCGGGTGCGCCAAAGGTCAGGGTGGGGGTGCGGGGAGTGGTTCCTTGCATCTTGATGGTGTGCGATCGTGGGTGTGCGTTTGTGTGTGTATGTTCGCGTGTGTGTGTGTGTTAGTGTGTGTGTGTGTGTGCGTGTGTGCGTGTTTGTGTCTTCGTGCGTGTATGTGTGTGCGTGTGTGTGTGTGTGTTGTGTGTGCGTCTTTGTGCAAGGGCTTGTGTTTGTACATGTGTGTGTGTGTGCGTGCGCCCGCGCGCGGGTTCGCTCATGTGGCGTGTGGGTTGGTTGGGGTGGGGGCCTTGCATCTTGATTGTGGTCGTGTGCTTGCGTGTGTGTGTGTGTGTTTTGTGGTTGTGCTTTTATATGGTTGCCAGTGTGCATGTGTGAGTTTGTGTGCGTGTATGTGCGTGTGTGTGTGTGTGTTTGTTTGTGTGCGTGCGTGCGTGCGCCCGTGTGCGGGTTCGCCAACGGGGTTGTGATGGGAGTGGGCAGGGGGAAAGGGGGGGGGCTCGTTGCATTTTGAGTGTGTGCGTGTGTTCGTATGTGCGTGTGTTTGTCATTGTGCGAGTGTGTTTTGTGTGTGTGTGGATTTGGGTGAGTGCGTGTGCGTGTGTGTGTGTGTATGTGTGTATGAGCGTGCGTGCGCCAATGTGCGGGTGCGCCAAAGGGGTAGGGGGGGTCCTTGCATCTTTGTTGTGTGCGTGAGTGTGTGTGTGTGTGCTTGGGTGTTTGCCAGTGTGCGTGTGTGTGTGTGTGTGTGTGTGTATGTGCGTGTGTGCATGTGTGTGCGCGCCCGTGTGCGGGTGCGCCCAGGGGGTGGGGGGGATTGCATTTTGAGTGTGTGTGTGTGTGCGTGTGTCTGCTGTGTGCACGCGTGGGCCTGCCGCAGCATGCATCGGGGGAAAAGTGTGCATGTGTGTCTGTGTGGGTGTGTTTGTGGTTGTGTGTGTACGTGTGTGTACGTTTTTGTCAGGACTGCACGTGGCCCGATCTTCCCTGGGTGCCCTCAGCCAGTCAGCCCTCACCGAGCGGCTCAGCAGCTGCCTTGTGAGCTGGCCCGGCTGGCCCGTTTCGTGCCTAGCAGCTAATTAGGACTGTTTCCGTGCCCCGGGCAGCTTCTATCTCCCCCTGCGTTTTCGCTAGCGGACGCGACCAAAAAAAAAGTGTGTACGTGTTTGCGTGCGTGTGTGTTTGGTGTGTGTGTGTGTGCTTGCGTGTGTGTGTGTGTGTTGGTGTGTGTGCGTGTGCGCGTGTGTGCGTTTGTGTGTGTGCATGTGGGTGTGCGTGTGCGCGTTCGCGTTCGCGCGTGTGCCTGTGGGTGCGTGTGTGCCGATGGCCACTGTTGCATCTCGCATGTGGCCGTGCATGTTCGGTGTGCGCGTTTGATTTGGGGGAGCGTCTGTCCGTGCGTGTTTGTGTGCGTGTGTGTATGTGGGCGTGTGTGTATGTGTGTGTCGTAGTGTGTTTGCGCGCATGAGTGAATACTTGTGCGTGTGTGTGTGTGTGCGTACGTGTGTGTGTGAGTGCGTCATTTTCCGTGTGTGTTTGTGTGTGCGTGTGTGCGTGCATGTGTGGTGTCTGTGTATGGGGGGAGGGGGGGGGCTAACATCTTGATTGTGTGCGTGTGTGTGTGTTATTGTGCGTGTGCGTTTGTGTGTGTTGTACCTGTGTGCGTGTGTGTGTATGTGTGCGTGTGTGTGTGTGTGTATGTGTATGTGTGTGCGCGTGTGTGTGTGTGTGTGTGTGCGCACGTCTGCGCATGCGCCAACGGGGGTCTCATTGCATCTTGATGGAGTGTGTGCTGGTGTGTGTGCGAATGTGTGCGTGTATGCTTGTCCTTGTGCGTGTGTGTGTGTGTGTGTGCATGTGTTTGTGTGCTTCTGTGTGTGCGTGTGTGTTAGTGTCTGTGTGTGTGCGTGCGCCCATGTGCGGGTGCGCCACAAATAGGGGGGGGGCAGGGGGGGGGGGCTCCTTGCATTTTGATTGTGTCCGTGCGCATGTGTGTGTGTGTGCGTGTGTGTGTCTGTGTGTGTGTCATTGTGCGTGGGTGGGGTGCCGGTGTGTGTTTGTGTGCGGGGGGAGACCCTAACATCTTGATTATGAGTGTGTGTGTGTGCGTGTGTGTTTGTCAGTGTGCGTGTGCTTGTGTGTTTGTTCGCGTGTGCGTGTGTGTGTGTGTGTGCGTGTGTGTCAGTGTGTGTGTGCGTGTGTGTCAGTGTGTGTGTGCGCCCGTGTGTGGGTGCGCCAACGGAGATATCCTTGAATATTAATTGTGTGTGCGTGTGTTTGTGCGTGCGTGTGTGTGTATGTGTATGTGTGTGTTTGTCTTTGTGCGTATGTGTCTGTGCGTGCTTCTGTGCGTGCGTGTGTGTGTGTGTGTGTGTGTCTGTGTGTCTGTGTGTGTGCGCCCATGTGCGGGTGCGACAAAGGTAGGGGGGAGGGGGGGGGACGGGGGGGGCGGCTCCTTGCATCTTGATTGTGTGCGTGCGCATGTGTGTGTGTGTGCATGTGTGCTTCTGTGTGTCAGGGTGCGTGTGTGTGTGTGTGTGCGTGTGTGTGTGCGTGGCTGCGCGCGTGCGCCCGTGTTCGGGTGCGGAGGGGGGGCTACTTGCATCTTGATTACGTGTGCGCGTGTGAAACATGCAGCACCACATCGATTTCACCACAAAATTGACCACACAAATCGCGCCAAATGGATTGCGCAACCTGTTGTGCACAGCGTAGCTTGCACAGCGTATACATTCCCCTTTCTAAAAAGAGAATAGACTCTACTCCCACCCTGGACTCATCGTTTCCCCTTGGGATAATACGATTTCATATATATATATATATATATTCTGCACACTCGTCCATCCTCAATATGAAATCATACCATCCCAGCTAGGCCGGTTTCCCCCCCTGAGGTTCCCTTGTAAAAAACACTATGCGGTGACATTTTTTGTTATAACATAACATTTCTTCAAGAATCCCTTGCAACAAATGAGACGAAGTGCTCACGCGCGCGTCGTCGCGCGCGCATGCCGAAATCCTTCAAAAACCTTCGGTGCGGGAAGGAGTTCGCAATCGAGTTCCCAAAAAACCTGCAAACACAGGGTTTCGCAACACAGAGTTGCTAAAACAGCTTCCGCGAAAGCTCTTGCGAAATCTTCAGAAAACCATAGGTTCTCCAAGATTTTCACCAAATGCTACCAAACGGGCTTCGCGCGCGCTCATGTCGAAATCTGTCGAACGCCCTTGCGCGTGTGCCGTCGCAAGAATCCCCTGCTAAAAAATGGGACGAAGTGCAGACGCGCGCGTCGTCGCGCGCGTATGCCGAAAACCTTCAAAACCATCGGTTTCGGAAGGATTTCAAAATCGCGTGTCCAAAAAACCAACAAAAACACAAGGTTTCGCAACACGGATTTTCAACAAAAGCGTGCGCGCGCGCTCTTGCGTCGTCGTCGTCGTCGTCGTCGCCGTCCTCCCTCCTCCCGCGTCGTTGTCGTCGTCGTCGTCGTCGCCTACGTCATCCTCTGTCTTTCCTCGTGTTCGTCGTCGTCGTCCTCTTTGGCGTCGTGGTCGTTTCCGTCGTCGTTGTCGCCGT